CCTCTTTCTCGCTCTCGTCTCGCTCTCCCCGAGGGAGGGCCTACGAGCATCCGTTAGTCCGCAACAAAAGCAACAGGATCAGTACTTAAACCCCTCTCCACTCCAATCTGCCACCACCACCCTATCCACAGCCATCAGTAGAATGGCAGCTGCAACCTGCAGCCCAGCCCTGCTTAGTGGCAACCCTAAAAGTGATCTCCGTCTGGTCCTGGGGCAGCAGGTTGTTCTGTGTCTGTGTCTGCGATGTGCGGAGAAAACCACCCCTAGCCGAAGAGGACAAAAAAAAAATAAATTGAAAGGACAAGAGGAATAAATTGCTACCCCATGGATGATCGGACAGGCACACCGACCGAAGCACATGTTGCATGCCTAAAGTGAGAGGCAAAGATTTCACAAGAAAGGGAGCAGGAGCAGCAAACGAAAGGAATGGGAATGGCAATGGGAGGGGTGCAACTGACACTCGGACCCAGGACGTGGGACAGGGCCAAGACGCCGTTCGAGTCGATTCGAATCGGGGTCGGGGCGGAGCATGTGCATCGTCTGCGCCTGCATTCTGTTGCTGTTTTTTTGTTGTTTTTGGGTTAGCCATTCGTTTTATGAGGGCGCGCACCTGCCAACAGCTGCCGCCAACGACTCCAGCAGCAGCAGCAAAGGCACCAGCAGCGGTAAAAAAAAAGAAGAAAAGTTATGCCAGCAAGCCATAAGTGATCATAGCCAAAAGCTAAAGTCCAAGTCAAAGACTTGACTTGTCTGCCCTTGAATGTATATGTTGAATGCCCGCCCACCAGGCGGCAGAGAGTGACCATTGAACCACCCAAAATTTCAGATGAAGAAACACTCATACAATATCTACGAGAAACCAGATTCGGAGACCATCAGCGACGATGGACCGAAAGCAATTTGCTTTTGTTGTCTGCTGGCCATCCGCCTCGGAAAGACGAGCTTAAAAAGTAGACGCCAAAAAAGAAGAAGTGGCGGCAACAGCAGCTGCCTTTCGGTTCGTGGTCGGGTCGGGTCGAGTCGAGTCCGTTCGACTGTTGGCCACAAAAAATACCACCTGCCGCCCATATACAGTCATACCTGTCCATGTCCTTTGTTTGTCCGCAGTCCCCCTCCCTCCCATTCACGCAACAAGGCATCAAGGATAATGAATTGGGAAGAGCTGTTGCCCCAAACTGCATTTCTATTTCGAGTCTCAGTTCTCAAATGTATAAGATACCCACGCAAAAGATTGAATGCAATCGATGACAGAAGCCACCATCCCTCACACACACACATCCACGTGTATACACACAGAGACTTGATGGCCTCACCTCTCCCCGCCCTTCCCACCACCCCCACTCCACCCGGCTTCGTCTGCGACTGCGTAGGCGTCGAAAGCCACAGAGAAACAGCAAGAGGCCGAGAGAATACCGTTTTGTTGTTGGTATTAGTGTTAGTGTTAATTTGGCTCGCATATAAAATCGAAGATTTTATTCGCCTGTCCGTTGGATCGGTCGAATCGTTTGGATCAGTGGGACTGGACTGGGACAGCTGTGGTCGGTCGGTGGCTAGTGCCAGTGCCTGTTGTTGTTGCTGTTGAGCACCACCCACCCACTTCGATGATTAGTGGTTGCTGCTAAAATGCTTCAGTCGGATCGAGTGCACAGTGGTACACAGAGATTTTGTTACGAATTTGGTCTAAAATAGTCATTAGTTACATTTCTGTGGGTGAACCCTATTGATATTTTCTTCTACCGAGATAAGTGTTGAAGAAGTCTTTAAGGACGTTTCCTTCCTTTCGTCCCACTGTGCCCGTCAGCGGGCAAAGCGTTTTTTAATAACTGCGTGCTGGCCTATAGCTTGTGGTATGATGGGGAGGGGGGTTCCGTTAGGTACTGTGGCGGCGTTAACATGTCATTAGCCAGGCGTCGTCTGCTGCGGGTACTCCTCCTACTGCAGCTCCCTCCCCCTATGCGCCCCTTTGTCTTTCTGTGGTTGGGCTATGGCCTTTCACCGCAACAACAAGTAAATGTTGTGGCTCACCCTGAGCTGCCAGGTCGCCGCAATCACTGATGCCTGATGCTGAATGCTGGTTTGGCTTTTTGCCCAACCCACGGGTGTTAAAAATTGTCCATATAACTCCAAACCACTGTATGCGTGTTCATGTCCATGTGTGTTTGTGTGTGTATTGTAATTTGCACTTTGATGACCGCCCCCGAATAGAGGCATTGATTAGCCGAAGCCATCCCGCAAATCTGGCACATAATAAAAAAGATATTGCACATAATAGCAAACAACACACAAATACCCAAATAAAAACCCCACAAAATAAAGCCCAGGAAAAGGGAAAAGCCAATAATAAGTTTACCGTTACCAGAAGCCCGGCATCTGCAAAAACAACTCCACCAAAATGCGACATCTGCCGCCAAACGACAGCTTCTCTCTCTCTCTTTTTCTACCTTCCTATCATCCTTCGTGTTTCTGCGGGGGATAAAGGGCAGGCACGATCACGAAGCGCTCTCACTTATTACGTGAGAGCGAAGCCAAAACGACAAACGCTAAAATTCCCCCAACCGGCATTTTTATTTCAGCTGCCCAACCGGTTCTGGCTCTCTCGCTGCCTTCGCTCTCCTCTCCCATTCCTACTCCCTCTCGTCTGCTCTTGCTGTTGCTCTCGCAACTCCCCCAAGTTGGCGTCTGTTTGAACACCCACCACACGACTCTGACGCTGACGTCGACGTAGCCGTCGACCGATCGCTGTTCTGATGTGCGCGCGTGGTGGTGTCGTCGTTGTTGTTGTTGCTGCTCTTTTTGTTGTAAATTGATTTTGTTGTCGGTGCTTGCGCGCCCATTTCAGCCCACTCCCGTTGTTGTCGTTGCTTCGATACCCTTCCTGAAAGAGAGTACATTGGCTTTTAACGAATGTTTTGGTCATAAAAGCCTTTTGTTTTGTAGTTCCACAACAGTGGGGGAATTTAAATAAAGATCAGCCCACGACTACACAAGTCTGATGACCACAAGCGATCGATCTTCAAGGGTATTCAAAGCTTCGGTAGTATTCCTTTCCTGTTTTGTTTGTTGCTGCTGTCTGTTATTAGCAAAGCGGATGTTGTTGCTGCCTGCTGGTGATGGTGGTGATGCCTCCCCCACACCCCACAACGGCACCCACTCGCGCGATATTTGCTGTTGCTGTTGGCAACGCATGACACTTTCTGTGTTGTCTGTCGTCTCGCCCACAATAGTTGACCCCATGTCTGTCGCCTTATCAGAGGAGGGGTGGGTGCTGCTGCTGGCTCCGGGAGTGTGAGCGAGTGTGGATGTGTGTGATAGAAATCTAGGGAGTGCTTTGAGTTTTATTTTCACTCTTCTCTCATTAAAGGAACATTTGAATGAATTGAGTTTATCTTGCATTTCCTATAAATTGGGATTTGTAAAAAAATCACAAAACTGGTATAGATACTCCTCTCAAACACTTGCACTTTCCACTCCCCACACTCGCACACACACAAACAGAGAGAAAGAGAGGGGCCTATAGTGCGGCATGATCTTGAGCATACCCCCAAAGTCAAACGGCAACAACCACAATGCCCTTGGCTTGAGAAACCACACGCAGAGAACTCAGAGTCAGGCCCAAGCCGCCAGATCAGGGCACAGATCGCAAATTCAGATCCCCAGACCCCCAGACCCCTGGCACACACACAAAGACACGACGAACAGGCCGCCACAGAGGCAAGGCAAACAGAAACAACAACTAACGAACGCCCCCATGGAGGCAGCAATGGCAGTGGCAGCCACAGCAACACCCAACTGTAAAAAGCACACGAAGCATAAAAAATCAAATATGCAAAACTCAAATACGAAATATGAACTCGAAAGAGACCAGAGAAACATGCTGGGGATCGTATCGGATCTGGGGACGCGGACTTTGACTGCGGGAGCTGCTATCGTGTGGGGGGCGTGGGTGGGCGCAGTTGGCGCGGTGCCATAGAACGTGCCCAAGGCACCACTACAACAACGAGGACAATTTTGTCGCCACAATGTGGCAAACGAAGAAATGTGTGTTGGCATCTCTCTAAAAACAAATGAAGGCGCAGCAACATGTGGCCAGGAGAGAGAGAGAGAGAGAGAGATAGGGAAAGCACCCAACCACCCACCCAAGAACAAAAGCACCGCCAAAAAGCGATTTAGCTGTTTTCTGATGCTGGAGATGAAGCCACTCCGGTGGGTTTTTGGGTTGGTTCACGTCACTCGGGTGGGCACGTCAAGGTGGTTCAATTTATTCAAAAATATGCAGCTGAAAGACTGAAAGAGATGTTGAGCACCCCGACAAGCCTGAGACTGAGCCCCAAAAATTAAGTAAAGTGTTTTGTGCGGGGGAATCGGCATATACAAAAGGTGGTGCTGGTGCAGCCGACAAATGTGTCAAAGACAATCTGTTGTGCAAAAGTAAAATAGGAAAACGGAAATGAATACATCTCAGTTATAAATAACCATCATAAAGAACCCGCCCGATCGTCTATAACAAAGTTCTTTTGAGTAAAAATGATTTCGACAAATTTGTCGCCTGTCACTACCTCAGCATCGACGCTCAATAAAGAAAAGAGCTGTAAACAAAAAGCGTGCTCCAATCAGTGGCGCGCCGGTGCTGACTCAGCTGATGCTGCGCCGTCGCCAGCAGCATCGTCAGAGCGAGCCACATCGCAACAAAAAACCCCCCACGCAAGCGCCCCAAGGCAGACCAGTCGAAGTCCCCGTCCCAGCTCCAAGCATTCACACACATACACATGCACATACTCGCACACCCAGGCCGCCCCCTCTCTCTGGGGGACAGACAGCCAGACAGACAGAGACCCAGAGACTAGCTTGATGTGTCAGCGGACAGTTCCCAGAACTGACGTCGCTCTGGGTATTTGTGTGCCGGATGTGGCTTCGACTTAGCTTAGCCAGATCGACTAACTCTCACTGTGGCAACCATTCAACTTATGCGCTCTCTTCCTCTCTGTTTTCGTTTCTTGCAGCTCTCGAAGGGTGGACGTCGTGGCAATAGCAAGAGTAGCAGCAGTAGCCGCAACTTGAGTGGAACGCGCCCGCAAGCCAAGGCCAACGGCAACTCCGCCAAAGAGTCGCAGTCGCAGTCGCTGTTGCTGCAATGGCAACACTAATCCCAGCGAACGGCGGCCATCCAGGAGCGAGCGCACAGTCCTCAAATGTTGAGGCTACATATGAAGATATGTTCAAGGAAATCACACGCAAATTGTACGGTGAGGAGACCGGCAACGGTTTGCATACGCTCGGAACGCCGGTGGCTCAGGTGGCCACCAGCGGACCGACAGCGGTACCAGAGGGAGAGCAACGTTCCTTCACGAACCTGGTAAGTGGCAGGAATAAAGTGCATCCATATTGGGCAGAAAACTAACCAGCTTTCTTTTTGGTTTCTCCAACTCTAGCAGCAGCTCGATCGCTCGGCAGCGCCCAGCATTGAATACGAATCTAGTGGAGCTGCCAACGGGGCAACAACCAGTAACAATGTGGCCACCTCCCAGGCCAATGTAATCCAACAGCAACAGCAGCAGCAACAGCAACAAACAGAGTCGGGTAACTCTGTGGTAGTCACAGCCACCAGCGGAGTAGGAGGAGCCACTGTGGTGCCGGCACCCAGTGTGGCTGTGGGTGGCTTCAAGTCCGAGGACCACCTAAGCACGGCCTTTGGCCTAGCAGCCCTCATGCAGAACGGATTTGCAGCGGGCCAGGCGGGACTCCTGAAGGCCGGGGGCGACCAGCAGCAGCGCTGGGCCCAGGACGGGGGTGCAGGTGTGATCGCCGCTGCGGCCGCAGACCAGCAGCCGCAGCTGGTGCAATGGACGACGGGTGGCAAACTGCAGAGCTATGCCCATGTCAGTCAGCAGCAGCAGCAACAACTGCAGCAGCAGCAGCAACAACAACAGCCACAGCAGCAGCACCACCACCAGAGCACACCCAAGTCCAAGTGAGTAGCATATACGCTGAATATTTAAAGAACTTTCACTAAAGTCTCTCCGTTTTTTGGTGTTCTTCCAGAAAACATCGCCAGGAGCATGCGGCGGAATTGATCTACGCCAGCCCCTCGACATCGGCCAATGCGGTAGTACAGAATTTAACCCAATCCACACCCACCTCAGCGCCCAGCAACAGCAGCGGCGGCAGCAGCAGTTCCGGGGGCAGTCGCAAGAAGTCCTCGGCCCAGGCGCAGGCAGCCGCCGCCGCCAATGGAGTGCACATCCAGAAGCGTTATGCCTGCACCCATTGCCCGTATTCCACAGATCGACGGGATCTGTACACACGGCACGAGAACATCCACAAGGACGAGAAGCCCTTCCAGTGCTATGCCTGCCTTAAGCAGTTCAACCGAGCCGATCATGTGAAGAAGCACTTCCTGCGCATGCATCGGGAGCTGCAGTACGACATCAACAAGACACGTCGCCATGTTTCCGCCGGCAGCAGCTCGGGCAGCGGCTCCTCCGGAAACTCTCATCACTCGGGCGGACGTGGCAATGTGACAATTAATGCCACGGGCGTTAATATCGATAATGCCTTCCTGGAGGCCCAACGGCATCCCACCTCGACCAGCATGAGCATTGTGGAGACCATCGAGGCGGTGGCCTCGGCCGGCGAGATGCCGCTGGCCCAGCTTAAGCAGGAGAAGATGGACGATGGCAGTGTGCTGCCGCTCCATGTGGGCGTCGTGATGAACAATGCCCAGCAGCCGGTGGCCAGCTCCAGTTCGGGCAGCAGCTCCGGTGGCGGCGGCAACGGTGGTGGCAACAGCAGCGGCTCGGGTCTGCTTAAGCCCAAGCGCGAGAAGCGATTCACCTGCTGCTACTGTCCGTGGTCGGGGGCCGACAAGTGGGGCCTGAAGCGTCATCTTAATACGCATACAAAGCCCTTTGTCTGCCTGCTCTGCGATTACAAGGCAGCGCGCTCCGAGCGCCTCGCCACCCACGTGCTGAAGGTGCACAACAAGCGGGCCTGCAGCAAGTGCTCCTATCTGGCGGACACCCAGGAGGAGTATCAGGTCCACATGAGTGATGTGCAGTAAGTATTCCTAAAAGCTCAATCCCCAAACCTCAGACAATGTGTTTCTGTGCGTGTGTGTGACAAAAACCAACTCTAAACAGCTTTTGAACTCTCTCTCTTTCTTACTCTCTCTCTCTCTCTCGTTGTTCTCCTAATCCTCCTTATCCCACAACAACTCCCAAACACACACTTTGATACCCCTTTGACCCGCGATATCAGTCCGCACGATAATCGACCATCTCGCAGCGGCAATTCGACAAACAACAATGGCAACAGCAACAACAATGGCAGTGGCGGTGGCAACAACAACAATGCCGGAGGCAACAATGTCTCACATAGCCAGAATCTGAATGTGTTGCGCACCATTGGCAATACCCTGGTGGCCAATAACCAACTAAACACCTATGCCGGCAATGCTTTTGGGTAACATTCTCAGACCGCCTACACTCCTCCCCCCCCCCCCAACCAAAAACCACACCTTCCCCCCACCCAAACAAAAAGTAAACCTTTAAACACACACAACCAAAACCGAAACCTGAACCCCAAGCCCAAGCCCCAAAAGCGCGCACAACGTTCCTAACTTTAGTTACTACCCTCCGTTCTCTCGTTCTCTCAACTCGCTCTCATGCTCTCGTGTCTCCAACTCTGAAACGACAACCGACAACAAATCCATTCACATGATCCTCATCATCATCATGATCACCATCAATCATCATCCACATCGACATCGACTTTATGCTTAGCTCCTCCAGTGGCAATGTGGGAAATGGGAATGGAGGCAATGCCGTTACCATCTACACCACATCCAACGAGGGCGGCGGCAGCGGCAGCGGAAACATCACTGGCGGCGGCGGCGGTGGCCCACTTCAAGAGATCATAGTGAATCCCACATCGATGGTCGGTTGGCGATTGAGCGCCAATGGATCGTTGATACCACCGCATGATCTGCTCACCGGCGGCCTTCCGAATGCTTCGACCCAAAAACGCGGATCGGAGCGTTTGTTTCAATACCTTGAGGCCGAGGGCAGCGATCCGGAGGACTATGCGCGGTATTTTGCATAAAATCTGTTTCTGTTTCTCTTTCTGTTTTGTGGCCCCCACAGTTATTTTGTGTTTTGTTTTTGCCGGTTTACCATTTTCTCGGGTTGTTTGTTTGCCGCTTTTGTTTGTTATTCGTTTCTTTTCATTAAGATTTCGAATATTTACTATTTTTATTGGTACACCCCCCCCCGCCCATTTGTTGTTATCTTTGTTAGCTGTTTATTTTTATGATAATTTCCGGTTAATTTTCATCCGCTTGTTCCTGTTTTGTATTGTTTATCCTTTGTTTATCGGAATCATTTTTTAATCGATATATTTTCGATTTGTTTCGATTCATTGCAGTCTGCTGAAAATGGACGCCATTAGTCGCAACACCGCTTCGGTCGCTCAGGATTTTCATAAGGCGGGAGGCGTGCACGAGTTGAAAATACCAGCAAATCATCAACTCCTGTTTAATAATAAACTGCCTTCGCAATGGACGACACGAGAGGCTGCTGCACTATTGTACAGCCTCAGCAACATGGGCACCCACAGCGGCAGCAACAGTAACAGTAACAGCAGCAGCAGTAGTTCCCAGCGACAAAAGTTTGGCATCCGTGCCCGGCAACATTCCACTGGGGAGGATGACGAGAACACACCATCGTCGGCATCCTCGTCGAGCTTCTCGGGCGATGAGTATAACATGTTGTCCACATCGCCAGTGAAGGTGTCGCGTCATGTGAAGCTGGAGAAGCACGAGGTGGCGGATGGGAAGGAGGAAAAGGTCCCAGTCCAAGTCCAGGCAAAGGCGATGATGGCAACGGCATTTCTGGAAGCGGCTAGCTACGAGCAGACGGCCATCGAGCTGCTCAGCAGCAAGCGCAAGATCAAGATCGAGAATGATGAGGATCAGGAGAACCAGGAACAGTCACAGCCACAGCTACAGCAGCGATTGCAGCTTATTAAATCGTCTCCCGCGTATAAATTGAATTCCAATAACAACAATAGCAACACAAACCACAAGGACAAGTCGTCGCACAGAAATGCCGTTCATCATAATCACCGTCAGGATGATAAGGAGAACAACACCAAATCTGCAGCAATTGCTGCTGCCGCAGCGGCGGTCACAGCAGCTGCAGCAGCAGCCGCAGCAGGAGGAGGAGGAGGAGGAGCAGGAGCAATCGCACCGAGCACCACGAATCAAACACCATTTCTCACCCAAATGGAATATCAGAATCTCAACCGCATTGGCACACAGTTTCACAATTATGTTAAAGACATCATCAACAAATACTACGCAGCCGAGACGCCTCTGATGCTGGCCGCAACGGCAGCAGCCCTGCCCACGGCCACCACCACGGGCCAGCAGAGGCAGCTGGATCTGGAGAACATGTCGCCGAGCAAGCGTCGCCGGTTGCTCAGCGAAACGGAGGAGTACATTGAGTATCTGCGCAACAAAGAGGACATCACCCTGACCATCACACCCAGGGCGCCCACAGTGAAGTCCTCGCCACCACAACCGCCAGCTGCGTCGCTGCTAAAGCGTCAGCTGGATCTGGCGGTGCCCCGCAAGAGTCCCAAAAAGGCGGCTCCAGCCCACAGTCACAGTCAGACCCATAGCCAGGCAGCTATGTCCAATGGCCACTCAGTGAATGCTGCCCGCAAATCCATCAGTCAACTGGCCACCCTGCTGCCCCTGCTGGCCGATGCAGCCAGCAAGCAGGAGTATCTGGCGGCACCGCTGGACTTTAGCAAGAAGTCGGATGGCGAGAACGGACGCAGCTCCCGCAAGCAGGCGCAGCCCAAGAAGATTCGCCTCACCCCGGAGGCGGTGGTGGGCCTGCTGCGCGACAAGTATCTGAATCGCATGGTCCGCCAAAAATTGGGCTGCCTGAAATGCAATCAGGTGCGACGCAACAGCACCATTAGCTTCAACTACCACACGATTGGGTCTCTGGCTCTGCACCGCTACTGGCGACATGGTCAGACACGAGCGTCCAGGCAGAGAGTGCAGGCAGAGTGCTGCTCAGGCGTGGCAGGCACAGTGCAGCTGCAGCCGAACAAATGACAGAGGACTCTCCGCAAGCTCTTTTGGGTTAATTGTCGTGTACATTTTGGTTCTCTTATTAATTAGCAAATGTTTGCTTGCCATATGGAATGCATTAGGCATTAACGTTGAAATTGTTTTAACAAATTGCATTTAATTTTGTAAATTTTAAGTTGTGATGTACCTGAAATATGATTTCTCTTAAAACAAACAAAAAATTACTTAACAAAACACACACGATTCATGGAACGAAATGGGCTCAAAAAGGCTCAAAAACGCAGCCGCCATCTCAAGTGAATTTCATTATAATTATTATCCATTTTATCCATTATCTTAGTTGTATAATTGAGCTCTCCATCGTATTACAGAAGCACACACACACATACTCACAAGAAGACAGATATTTAAAGATTAAGTAATATTTGAGCATTTATCAAATGTTTCAACCTAGTAGTATGATTTTACAGTTATGCTATGGATACACTGTATGATTTATTGAAATGTGAAGTAAAAGCTTTAATTTGCCATTTACAAAGCTTCAGTTAAGTTACGCGAAATGATTTGCCATTTATTTACAATTTACAATACCCTAGATTTTACTTTTGCTAGTTGCCTTAGTTTATTGTATAATTTATGAACAGACCTCATCGTCGTACCCTTTGCCTTATTTCTTAAACGTAAGACTTAAACGTGAAAATACATTTAGTTTTATTTAGTTTAGCCATCGTTTAGAGTAGCAGTCACGCCCACAAAATGCCCACACATCAAACATTCTCATAAGGAACATTTTAAGCATATTGAAAAAAACAAAAACAAAATCCAAACAAAACGTATATAAATATTAACGAACAAAGCAAACCATATTATTGTACGTGTAGTTGTACTTATGATTTTATCAAAGAAAAAGAAACTAAAGGAAACACAAGAACAAGCAACCATTCAACAAATACTCAAAAAACATGAATATAATATACATACATTCACCTTTTTACCACACTGAAAAAAACAAGAAATATTTGACTGAAAAGTGTCGGGGGGGATGATATATAGTATTATACATACAGTATATCATATGAATGGAAAGCATTATCGAATAAATGGTAATAAATATAAACAATTTTAGTGTACAATGTGTGTTTTTGCTAAATGTGGTAAACTTAAACGTAAATCTATTACACGAAAACTAAACTAAACTAAAAACAAAAATAACAAAGCATATAAAATGAGGAGAAATTCTTAAGTAAAGTAAATTTTTGGATGACAAGCCATTTAGACAAAATTTTTGAGACGAAAAAAGACATATGGGGAATGAAACAAAAAACAAAACAAAACTAAAGCAAGACCCAACAAATTACTTTAAATTTTATTTAAGCAAAAATTTGCAACAAAAAAAACCAACAAAAATGGAAAAATAAAGAATATATAATGTAATGTGAGTGTTTTTTAGTTTAAAAATTATATATTTCCAAAACATTCAAAATAAAAGATAATTAGTTTAAAATATAAAACAAAGAGGCTTTTCAATCATGTGTGGAAGAGGGTAGTACAGCACGGATACTTTGATGGATAAAATAATGGATACAATTTTGGATATTGTGCCACTTGGAGACGAAATACAAGATCCACAGATCTTGAATACAAACAAACGGCGCCTATATTTTTATATTTAGAGTACTTTTTATTGAAGCCCACACATTCAATTAAAAACGAATTCCTTATAGCTGTAGTAGTCCAACGTTCAGTTGGTTTCAGCGTGCATCAAAGACAACCACTGAAAGGCAAGAAAATAAATCGAAATATTCCATTAGCCGCTTGCGGGCGTACAGTTTGAGAGCAATTGAAGGCTGCTTTGCGCCAGGAGCACTACTTACGACGCTTGGTGCGCTTCTTGTACATGATGCGGTAGCCGCACTCGCGGCAACGTATGGGGTCACGTGGTCGCATCTCATTCTCATGATGGCATTCTAAAAGGAGTAGGACAATTATTTATAAAATATATGACAAATTTGTTTGACTAGATAGTGACGAAGATTCACGGCGCCATGTGCGTCGGCTTAAAATGGCCGTATTGATGATATGCACTTTTTCCCGGACTTACCGCCACAAATATAAGTCATTGCTGTCTTCACATTTTCCTTGGAGCTGGTCTCAGACATCTTTAGTTAGTAAAATTAACAAATTTTTTGTGGGTTTTGTAAAAAATGTGTTTTGTTTTTCGAACTTCAGTGTGACCGTGGATCTATCTTTAATATATACCGCACAACCTTCAAAAATATATTAAAATATACGTTCTCATTTTAGAAATATACCGTAGTCTTAAATCATATTCCTCGATTTGGATGTTCTATTTGATTTTAGCAGATTGCAAAGACTTTTAACACTGAAACAATAATTTAATCCGATTAAAAAATCAATTTTACTTATTATAAATACTCATTTGTATTGGATTGTATACCTTATGACCTTAAATTTTACAAATTTGTATCTGATTATCATTTGTTTTCATTATGTGTGTAACAATTAAATTTTTGAAAAATAGCGCGCTCAATTCAATAGGAAAAGAAATTCTAATGTTTTGTTGAAAGGGAAAGGAAACGTGAACATAGGTAAATATTATAAAAAGCTAGGCGGGGTTTGGGGGGGGGGGGGAGTTCTTCTATCTTCCCAACATAATTGGGGCTAAACTCCGATATATCCGCCCGAAATCGTAATATTGTTCTTCTGTGTGGAGGCCTCAATACAAGGAGCAACACATTCTTGTTGAATCCGTTCAAAAACAATTTTTTATATTCGCCCTTTGAAATCTGAACCGGGACTCTGACAGACTCTTACCACCTATTACACTCTTACGATCTAGGCTACCGTGATCCATGATCACTTCTCGAAGCATGCTGCCGTCCCATACAAATCATGCGTATAAAAGTTTAGATACCCTATATTCTTAAATATGGATTTAATATTCCATAAATATACATTGAACTCATTTGAAACTTAATTAGACACATTTAATTTTAAAATTTAATTTTTAAAAAATTTAATATTTTAAAAAATACCGACCCAAAATGTACTTTACACAGAGATGTAATTATCAGTAGAGCCACCTGACGACAAATTACACATTTATTGAACTAGTTCAAAATATCAATGGGTTCAATCGAACTGGTTCGATGTAACTATCGAACTTTGCTATCGACTAGTCCTGGAAAAAGAAGACCATGCATCAGTGTTGAGAAATGAAAGGAGCCCGCCACGTTTGATTTTAAGCATTGAATATTTAAAGACGAATGTAAAGTATAGGCAAATAAAGGATTCAAATGCATAGACAATGAGAATTTCAAAAGTTTTCCCACATGTTGTTTTCAAAGAGACAGTTTCGTATTTGTAGAACTTACACAATTTAAAATTGCCGTAAATAAATGAATGCATTTTAAATGACAGCGATAATTGACAGTGAATGGCATTTTGGGCCAAACAGCATAATAACTCGTGCCCGAGGCCGCACTATCTTAATTTGATAAGTGAGTGTCCCTCCTCCCCTCATTATCATCGCAGTCATCTAGCATAACATGTATAACCCTTTCCCCCAAGAGCAGCCACAGTCCCCCCGCTCCAGGCTCCTGCTCATGCTCCTTTTGCCACACACACTCGCACACTCACAGGATATCACAATAAAGAACAACCAAACCAAACAAACCGAAAAGAAGAACAATTTAATTAGCGATGACATGTTGCCATTTAATTTTCTTGTAAAAAGTGTAATTAAAAATGTTTGTCTCGCAGCTGGATAGTGGATGGTGGGGGTAGCATATGTGGTTGCGGAAGGGTAGAGCGTAGCCAAAGGTAAAGACGAAGGCAACACACAGGGGGTGGAGGTGGAGAAAGGACACGATCATATATCGGTTTCTCGGTGATAAATCATACAGCGACTACCTTTGGGTGCATTTTAGGCTCTAAACGATGAGATAATCTACGGTTAGAGCGACAACAAAATGCTGCCACCGGCAATAAATTTGGAAAATACAAAACATTTGACAATTTTCCAGACAAAGGTAGCTCCCGGCCTATGAATGTGTGATTGTGTGTGCCCATGTGCGTGTGTGTGTGTGTGTGTGTGTGTCTATCTAAAGGGTTTTGCTGGGGTCTGTCCAGCACAGCACACATCCAGGACACAGCACAGAGCAGTCACGTCAACACTTCCCAACTCTTTTGGTCGCCTTTTGTTTCGCCTTTCGTATCCTTTCGGCAATAAAAATTCCGTTTGCTATTTATCTTGATTGTCCCCAAGTCGCCATTTGCCAGGATATATTCAGGACATGCTCCGGACACTTCAATGTTGGCTTTGGCGTAGCCGTCGCCGTCTCCATCGCCATTGCGATGCCTGGACATTTTTTGCTTAATGAAATGTACATAAAACTAAATGAAATTAAGTTTGTGGCGTGCTCGTGGAGCAAAGTCCCATGTCCGTGCCCCCCCCCCCCCATCTCCTATGCTGTGAGCGCTCACTAGCTGCGTGTTTATTACCGCGTCGGGTATAAAATGCAAAACGCGTTCCCAAGCCAAGTCCCGCGCTTTCCCCCATCATGTGGCACAAAATGGCCGCCACTGCCCACCAGCCCAGCCCAGCGAACCCTTTTTCCAAGAACAAACTCGTCCAAGTCCGATTCTCATTCAAAAGTCCGATTAAAGCCTCAAACAGCTGTTCTGTGGAGCAGCGCTGAGGGTGCGCTTGAGATGTGCTGGTGTGGGAAAGCTCATAAAGTCGAAATTAAATAATTTGTCTTCTTAATTTTCAAATAAATTCTTCATCATACAAATAAAAGGAAAAGCAAACCCCAAGCAGCAAAAACAATTGTCAGGGCAGGGCAGCAGCCTGTCCTTGCCTGTCTCCCCCCTGTCCGCCCAGCCCGAAAAGTGAGCTCACTCAGCCAACCAGAAGCGTGGCGAAATCCCAACCAGCTCCGCATCCCTCAGTGCCATCGCATACCCATCCCCCATCCTTCAGCACCCATCACCCATCACCCATCACCCATCCCATCTTTCCTTCGAGAGAAGACGGAAAACACTCGAGATGTTGCCGAGCAGGAACGTTTTATTAAATTCGACCTACGCCATGCCATGAATATGCGAGAGCAGGCAGCAGGCAGAAGGCAGCCCCTGTTGCTGTTCCTGGGTTCAGATCCTGCCGCCCTCGCGACAGTTTTCGTATTGTATTTTTTAATATGTTTGTCTGTCAGTCCGTCCGTCCTTCTATCTGTCGCCCGGCACAAATAATCGTGTACACCATTAATCCTTATTTCACGGCATTGTCCTCCCCGCCCTTATCACGAGCAAGCACATCCCTCCGCAGCAGCCTCTCAGCCGCCCAGCCGCATGGCAAACACCCTCACACAAGGACAAGTGGCATGTAAGCGATTATCGCAAGGACATCAGGGCAAAGGCAAGCACAGAGGAAGCGGCAGAAGCAGAGGCAGAGGCAGAGGCGAGAGTATAATATCAGAGGGGGGAAAAAACAATAAATGTAAAAATAAATAAAAGGGTGTCAATGACTTTTGATAATACGAATGATTGTCAAAAAATTCTCAAACAATATTCAATATTAGAATACACGGCAAGAAAAGAATTTAATCCTCCGATCTAAAATATAAATCTGTAAATAGATTGAAAATGAAAGGAACAAATATTAGATATCAACTGACTTATATAAATATATTTTTTCATACATTTAGTATAATCAATCGCTAGTCTACTCTATTCTTAAAATACCTAAATGTACATATGTACATACATAAATAGTACATATATACATAATATACCACTTGGAAAAGTGAATTTATCTTTGGTCTAGTAACACCCTCAGTGCTATGGCCATCGCTCTGGAACTCGCCACTCAATCAGTTTCTCCCACTGCGAGTCCACTTTCTGGCAGTGCAGATGAAATCTCATTTTGGAAAACCAATAAAGTCCACAGACAGCTTTCAGCAATCACAAAACGATTTGGAATACACGCACAAGCACACGCACACCCATTGCCATAGCCGACTGGCCGACTGCTTCCCGTGGGGCGGCCATTTACCACCCTCTCGCTCTGTGAGTGACTGACTTGTCCTTTTTTATAGTTTCAGCACGCTTTCCGCTTGGCCTAATTGCCGGCTATGCTCTGGATCCGGAATCATGTCCGGATCCGGATCATCGGCGGGACTGAGGCAGTCTCTTCTTCCCCCTGGAATGTTGGACTTTTCGACGTATACAAATTTCGGGTGTGCGCAAAATGAAAAATGACAACACAGGCAGAAGGCAGAAGGCAGAAGGCAGAGGGACTGGGGACGGCAGCGTCGAGTGACGACCGCACGCACTTTTCCGAGCCGGGGACGGAGCAGGACTTTGACTGCTTTGTCCTCTTTGTATGCTGTGCCATGTGCCATGCTGTAGATCCCTTCATTGAATCCTTTTGATGCCGTGCGGGGTGGTGCGAAGCGTTTGAATGCGAAATTAAATGATAAAAGATAGCAATGACACACGCACCAGCACACACATCCCATCCCATGCCACACCAGACAACACAGGTTCCGCCCCCACCCTTCCAATTGAACCGTTTGAACGCTGAAGGTCGAGCACCTGTTTTATTAAAAAGCAAATAAACGAATTTGGTGAACGACCGAGAGAGAAGGGTGAGTACACAGGGCACAGGCACCAAAGGACCACCGCAGACAGCAGGGCAGAGGACAGGCAACAGGACCCGAGCTACTGTTAATAGCCGGATGATGATGATGATGATGATGAGAACGATAATGATGAGGATGAGGATGATGTTGATGTTGATGTTGATGCCAGGGTGCTGACTGCAGTGGTGGTGGCTGCCCTCCTAGATGAGCTGCAATACAGCTGGGCAGGAGCAGGAACACACACTACGTTCTCGGGCTCCGAGTTCTGGCTTGTGCTCTGGCTCATGGACTGTCAAGTGGTTGGCGTAGCATAATAATTGTGCATATTTGGCTTTTTAATAAAATCTAATCGTCATGGCATCGCAGCGGGGGTGGCGAGCGCAGCAGAGCCGGAACAAAACTGGACCAGAGCTCATGGGCGGCAATGAAATTTAATTAAATTTACCCAAACAACAAAACTTCAGGCTCTGGCCCTGTGGCCCTGTGGCCCAGCACTGTGCCCCCGCCGAGGGTGTTATGAGTGTTTCATATACGGAAACGGAGATGGTTATGGGAAGTGGTGGCCTGTTCGATATGCGAGCTCCATTGATTGA